GGCCAACTTTCCACAATTAATATTATGCAGTAAATGGGGCTGTGATGGATCTTCGGGACAAAGTGAGTACAAGCAAATACTGTCTGGTGAAAGTGACGTAAAATCCGATACTAACTTGTTTGTAATATCCTTGTTTCCACTACAAATTGTAGATGAAGTCACAAAATACGTCGTTTGGAAAAATCCAACCCCGTTCTCTGTTCGATACTGTAGGCCCATTTTAATAGAATTCTCAAAAGAGACTCCAGAGAAAACAAGATCTGTTGTCAATGAAGTGGAAACTAAAATAAGCACTCTTTTGTAGTGAAGAATGAACAGCAGATATCTATTAAACATGAGCTGTTTTTTACAATGATAGATGGTAATGTTACACAAGTAGTAACAAATACTCCATCAAGTGCCACATGCCATATATATCTTGCAAAACCAACAGAAATGAACGATTTGGAACGTGTTAAACAGAGACCTGAGAATGAAGAGCATTATAGATTTGGACTCTCATCTTTACATGCATGAATTCGATTTATGGAGTTAGTACTTCATGTTTCATATAATTTATCATTTAAAAAATGGTCAATAACCTCAGAGGACATGAAAAAGCAAAAGCAATCTAAAAAAGCTTATGTACAGGGTGGCCCTTTTTCGAGTCTCATCATTGGAATCTTGAAAACCGCAAGAGATACAGGATCGATTAAATTATTGCAAAGTTGCGCAATTTGATGATTATGAAAATGCTATATTAGAATTTGGAAAATTCCGAATACTTTCTGAAATATCCGGAAAAAAACGAAATTTCATAAAATCATTTTTATTTTTTTCCTGACGTTATTTGAAAACAAATTTTAAAAAGAATAACACTTGCCCATTGCTACTTTTTATCCTCTACATATAAACGTTTCAGGTTGCATTATTCTCGCAAATGTTCCCGAAAAGCTACTAATGAAGATGTACTTCATACTTTATTGTATACATCAGCTTATACATATAACGAGCTTAAGACAATCCGTGTCACGCCAGATTGTGCAACTTGACTAAGAAGCCTTGCAACTATTACAATAAATATTTATTTATACATATATAATATGTACATAAATTACACGCTGTATGTTATCATTATACAATTATAAAATGAAATGTAAAAAACAAAATAAAAATTATTTACCATCACTACTGAATGTCAGACCTTTCTTTATATCTGTATACCGATTTTCATGTGTCTACGGAGCCAACAAGAGTATTTACCAATATTCATGGATACACCAGTTCTTCTACAATTGATTATATGGTCACCAATGTGCCTGATAATACGTGTACATGCGAAATATTTAATCCAAATATTTTGTCGGTAATATATAAGATGAGCCAATTGATAAAAATATTACTAAAATAATAGAGACACGGTTAATTAATGATAACAATATTCATAATTTCTTATACAATTTTAATAAATTAAACTGGACAGAATTATATAATCTTGATGTTGATGAGTTTTTTAAAATTTTTTATTGATAATATTATCTGGTGCTACAACGTTAGCTGTCCTCTAAGAAAAATTAAATTAAAACCAAACAAAAATAATAACAAAGGATGGTTGTCAAATGAGTTGATACAGCAAGGTAATAATTTGAAAAATGTATTTTGGTTAATGATTACTATTGACATGACTGATTGCAAAATACTTTATAAAACTGAAAAAAATAAATTAAAACACAATATAAAAACTGCTTTAATTATAATGCCAACAAAATTAAAGATACTCCGAATAAAAATAAAGCAATATGGAATATAGTTAACCCAAGATTAGGCAAAAATAATATTACAACATTAAAACATAATGGTGAACATATTACTGATAATAATACTATAATCAATGTATTTGCTAATCACTTTTTTTATAGTAGCCAAAAATAAATTAGAGCAACATTTCGGTTTAAATACGACCTTACCTTGTACTACTTCTGCATACCGGGAACAATCAATGTTTTTTGGACCAATCACAAATGATGAGGTTAATAAAGCTATTGATATTGAAGAACAAGAAATCTGTAGATTTTGACAATTTGACTGCACACTTATTGAAAACTATAAAAGATAGTATAGTTGATTACCTAAGATATATATATATATATATATATATATATATATATATATATATATATATATATATATATATATATTTAATCTTTCATTATATCAAGGTCATTTTTCCAATTTACTAAAACAGTCAATTGTTGTACCACTCTACAAAAAGGCCCTTCTGATGAAATAGAGAGTTACAGACAAATATCCATATTGAGTATCTAAGATATTAGAAAGAATTGTATATGATAGAATTCCTTCATATTGTGAAAAAAAAAAACAGAAATCTGACCACAGCTCAACATGGATTTCGAACAGGAAAGTCCACGGAAACAGCTTGTTCTAATTTTTTAGAATATGTGTATAAGTCTTTAGATACTGGTAAATATATAGTATCTTTAACGTTCAATTTAACAATGGCATTTGATGTAATTGATCGTACACTGCTTAAAGATAAATTATATAGTATTGGCGTAAGGGGAATAATATTGACATGGATCTTATCCTACATGGAAAATAGATATATATCAACAACGTGCCTGAATATATAGCAGGCCATATAACAATATTTGCTGATGATTTAATGGTTACTTTGACGGCAAACCCTTGAGGAGCTCCAATCACTTATTGACAAGACAATGGAGGAAGTTAATACATGGGCACAACGAGATAGGCTTATATTAAATGATAGTAAAACTGTGTTTATGAATTTTACGATACGAAGGCCTTTGCCAAATAATTTAGTCATGTATGATATGATATTGCATCATCGCACAGTAGACTTCTAGGTACTTATATTGACAACCATTTACTTTGGGATGTACATATAAAACGTGTGTGAAAATTTAAATAAGGCATTCTTTGCTATATTGCAATTAAGGAATAGCTTAGATCAAACAAGTCTTTTAAATATATATTATACTCTGGCATACTCTCATATATCATATAATATAATATGTTGGGGTAGTGTCAGAGACCGGTAAAGGGTATTTATATGTCAGAAAAGAATAATTCGATTAATACTCAAATTAAATTACAATGAAAGTTTCCTTTTATTAACAAAAATGTGTTAACTACGCCTTGTATTTTTATTTGTAAATGCCTAACTTATATAAAAAATATAGACTTATTTGTAAAACGGAATCAATATCACATATATGACACTCGATATGGAGATCTATTAAGTGTACCACGTACAACAAACCACAAACATTCTCCAAATTACAACTGTATTACTTTATACAACAGCTTGCCATTAGACATAAGAAATATTACCAACTATATAAAATACAAACGCGCTGTAAAATATCTACTGGTGAGAGGAGGATTTTACAGTATAAATGAATATTTAAATAAAGAACCTTAAGGTTGTGTATATATATTTTATAATATTTGGTGTTTTGTGATTACTAAATTGTATTCAATAATTTTGAACGAATTGTACTCTATACACATATTTCATGTATTTTATGACTGACCATTTTACTCGTATCTTGTGTTTCTATTTTTTTAACAATATTTACTGTCTTTATAATTATTATTCTTATTACATACATTTCATGTACTCTATGACTTACCATATATACTCTATGGATCTCAAATGGTTAAATAAATAATTAATTAAATAAAAGATAAATTATACAATTTGAGGCAACATGAATGATTACTGATGTTAACTTAACTTTAAAACATTAGAAAATATATCATCATTTTGGAGATATTGGCAACTGGCATTCTCAAATACCTCCAAATTAACTTTTATCTCTAAACCATTTAACTCCTTTCCATCTAGGTCATAAACAAAATCATGATTTACTAAAGACAGCCTTATTTCATCTTCGTTAAGTCGCCCCTCAATTACGAAAACGATGGCAAGAAAACATTTTTTTCAAAACGAACGGATCTAAAAAAACTATGACTTAGAAATTGTTAAAGATGACAAAAGCTTCAAAAGTTACTAGTCATTTTGCCACAGCAAGTTGAATTGTATATTCGAATTAAAATCGGAAGTGTTTCGGACAGGTTAACAACGACGTTATAAAACATTGTGCAAAATTATATACTACATATTTTTGTATAAAGTTACGTTGGTGAACTATTTTTATCATAGTCTGGGGGTCTGAAACAGTATCGACTAGAAGGAATGATAAAATTAGTTGCCAATTTTAGTGAACTGCTATAATAAATATACGGCTACAACATTCTTGGGGTGAGATAGAATGAATCCTATTGCTTCACACACTGGCCGTGTATTTATATACCACTGGTATCCATTTCATGCAAAATCTGCGTTTAATGAGATAAAAAGTAATAATTGGAGTTCAAATATGCGGGAGAGAGAGCTGACTGTATACTGTTTCGTTGCCACTAATGGTGTTCGCCGTGTGGCAGTAGCGCAGAGCAACTGTCTTTGTCTTTTACCATTTTTCTATTATTCTATCACTGCCTGCTACATTAAACACAGGTTTTGCCTGAATTGTGTATGGAATAAAATATAGGACATACTTGAGTAAACACTATATCATAAATTAAGCATATATACTACTGGTCTCGATTTCAAGCAAAACCTGCGTTTAATGCAAGAAAAAGTAAGAGAATTAGAATTTAAATATGCGGGAGGGAGTTGATTGTATACTGCCTCGTTGCCATTATGAACGACGCTGACGTGATATAATACACAATCGAACGTCGAATTCAGCTGGGGACCGGAGACGCCTCAATAAATGACATTCATTCTCGTTGTTCTGTGCCGATGTGGCAATAACGCAGATCAACTGTTCTTGTCGTCTATTACTCCATCACTGTCTGCTACATTAAACGCAGGTTTTGCATAAAATAGAAACCAGTAGTGTATAAATTTCGTGACAATCTGGTGCGTGCAAAAACTCGTATACGTTCGGATAGTCAATCAGCACTAATGAAGCACGGTAGCCGAGTGGGCAATACGCTCTATTTACTGGTTACCGAAGGTCGATGGTTCGATTCCATCCCGGAGCAAGTTAGATATTTTATTTGTAATTTGTTTCGGACTAAGATGGGCTAGAGAATTATCGATGTCCTAAATGTGGTTTGAATTCCGCAATAAACTGTAGGACCTGTCTCTTTTTATCAACACGCTTTTATTAGCTTCACCTGTATGTTTGCTTGCTTGCTTGCTTGTTTGTTTGTTTGTTTGTAACCGACTCTTTGGACTCGATTTTGACCCACTTTAAACAGACAGATTTAATTGAAACTTTGTACACTTACGAAGAACCGGTAACAATACAATAATTTGATAAGTATATATCATTATCCTGATCAGGATAGCTAGTCCTTTCTTCACGTATTCTCTGCGTGAGAGGAAAGGCTTAATATGTAAGTACATTCCACGATAGTCAGCTAGGTCGCGGTGATCGAGCGGGTTAAGGCAGTCGATGCGAAACGACAGACTCCTCGGGCGTGAGTTCAAATCCCACGGCTGAAATAAAATTTATTTTTTTTGTCAGAAATATCTGTTGGATCGTAATATGTTATAATATCAGCATCAATAAGCAATATAAATATAGTTTAAAACAACTAAACAACACGCTTTCATAGCACATCAAACTAAAAAAGTGAAAAATAAATATAGTTTAAAAAAACTAAAAAAACACGCTTTTAAAGCACATCAAACTAAAAAGTGAAAAATAATTATTAATATAAACTGAAAACAATAATGAACGAAAAATACTAGTATTATTATGAAAAAAGCGTGGGGCGCTTTGTGCCATATTTTTCGTATATCGAGCAACCCACGCTTTTTTCACAATAATACTAGTATTTTTCGTTCATTATTGTTTTCAGTTTATATTAATAATTATTTTTCACTTTTTAGTTTGATGTGCTTTAAAAGCGTGTTTTTTAGTTTTTTTAAACTATATTTATCTAATACAAGTGGTTACTGCGGTCATTTGAGAAAACCTTTTCAGTTGTCGCATGCAATTCAAATTACGTGAAGTACCAACTAAATCATTAAGTAAATAAAAAATTACAGAATACCTATTTGACTTGCCGTTTCAGCTTCGTTCGCGAAATGTATATCGATGACAGTGTTCAGTGTGTCCTTACTTATATCACAACAATATTCATGTTCATGCATTAATAAATTATCAAGAGAATCCAAATTATTTACCGTCAAAAAGCTGCCCTTTTTTAGATTTATTTTCTTTTAGTTATCCGTTGTATAAAGTTGCTGGCACATTTTTTGAGTTATGGCCCTGTACTGTGGTCATGATCAGGTGCGTTTTATATGCTGTGTACGAGTGTCACTAAGGTTGACCATGATTTATCGTTTGTTGGAATAACGCAAAAATAAACAGACAAGTACTTAAATGTTTAAAATAAATTCAGTGGGATTTTTTATTTTACAATACAAATAAAAATCTGACAAACGTAGATAAAAATAAAAAAAGAGAATATATCGTTTATAATTTATAAATAATTTGCTTTGTTAGTGTAACATTTATGTTTAAATTTTATTATGCAATATTTTTAGAAGTTACTTATAATTTTATTGTGGTTTTTTATTATTTTAAATAATAGATTCGTAGGAATGACTTATTATTTTCGGTAGGTAGTTTTATATTATACTAAAAATAGTACAACAGTAAACTAAAAATATGTTTTTGTGGAAATATATTTTCCTATATAGAGATTTCTGTACGGTGGAAAGGTATGCCATATTTAATACATCTTTCTGCAATGAAGTCTGCTTAGTATTGAGGAAGAGTAATTAATAAAGCTGGCCGAGGTGGCTGGAGTACAGCCACGGTCTTGCGCTAGCGTCACAAGTGCCGATTTAGAAGAGATTTACGCTGCAGTCTTATTTGAAAGGTTAATGCGTGAGGTTGTATCTATAAATTATACATAATGTCAAACGCGCCAAAGGGTAAAAAACGACCGTACGCGGACACAGTGAATAAATTTATCGGTGAATTTCCGGATTTATTCTATGACGGATGCAAAATAATTTGTAAAGTTTGCAATCAAGACTTAATGTGCTGGCACAAAACAGATTGTCGTCGTCATATCAATACCATGCTACATCAAAATAAAAAAAATGGCATGCCTTTGACAACTCAGTTTATGTTGATTTATTGTTAATGTTAATAGCCTGTAATATTCCGCTACACATACTGGATAAACAACCATTTCGGGAGTTTTGGAATAAATACAATCCCCAGGTGAACTTACCAAGTCGTACATCGTTACGTAGATATATTCCAGCTGTTCGTGAAGACATTGTAAATAGGATTAAATGTGGATTAAAAAATACACGGCTCTGGTTATGTATTGACGAGACGACAGATTCTAAAAAAAATTCTATTTTAAATATTATAGTACGTGTACTGGACCCTCTTAAACCAACATTTCCACTTTTACTAGCTAGTAGAAGACTAACTGCGTGTACTGGCGAAATAATTACGCGTGTGATGTTGGAGACATTCGAAAAATTTGAACTTTCAACAAGTCAAATATTGATGTTTGTGACTGATGGTGCCGCGACAATGCGAGTGGTAGGCCGTTTTCTTCAAAGAGACAATTGTAGGTTTTTACATGTTACGTGTAAAGTGCATGCGTTTCATCTTGTGGCAGAAACGATTCGAAAATGTTTTCCAGAGGTAGATGCATTAATAGCAAATACAAAAAAAATATTTTTCAAATCTCCTAAACGGCTTCGAACATTTCACAGACAGTGTCCTGGTATCCCTGAACCACCAGAGCCGATTCTTACACGTTGGGGAACGTGGTTGAAAGCGGTTTTTTATTATGCTGAATATTTTCAACAAATAAAAGCTGTGATACTACAGTTCAACCCTAACGAGGCTGCAGCTATTAGGGAAAGCCAGACAAGCTTTCAAGACGTTTCCCTTGAAACAGATTTAAAAACTATTAATAACAATTATAGAGGACTACACGACACAATAGGAAAATTGCAAAATAGTTCGTTGTCGTTAGTGGAATCGCTGCAAATAGTGGACGACGTAAATACACAGCTACAGGCTATAAACGACGCAAAAAATAATCACGTTAGTGAAAAATTTGAGAGTGTATTACAGAAAGATCCTGATTTTAGCAAATTAAGTCAAATTTGTGATGGTGCATCTACAACATCGTTAAGTGAGTTCACAGATTGTTTTACTTATGCCTGTATTACATCCGTAGATGTCGAACGGTCATTTTCAAAATACAAACATATTTTTTTCACCAAAGCGAACATCGCTGACGGAGACAGCTGTAGAAACATACCTGATGCTATTATACTATAGATCTTCCCCACTTTGTGATGACGATAACCAAACTACTTCATAAATCTGCATAAAAGGGTGAGTTTTATACAAATTTTTATAAAATGTAACATTATTGTTAAAATTAATTTCCATTTATTGTACTTATTCAAGTATTATGATATGATGTAAACATATGAGTCATATGACGGCTCTGTCGGCCAGGTGACCTCGGCCAGCTTTAGTAATAAAACATTTTACGATATCTATTCCATAGGCGTACCTTTTCTTTTCGAATTGTTTTCTTTAATAATATCATGAAAATATGTGAAAAAAATTTGAGAATTGGTACTGCATTTGAGATTTGTTCAAACATGATGGGGGTTGGAAAATCGACTATATACAGATTATTATTAAGTGAAAGAAAAAGTGTAAGTCTGAGGTAGGAAAACTCTATGAGAAATAATTTTCGACTGGGAGAGATAAAACAAGAAATCATTTTTAATAAAAAAAAAAAACGAAATTATTTGTTGGAGAAGAAGGTACTTCAGATTAACACAACGGTTTCGTAGTGAAAATAAAAATATTTATTATTTGGATGACACATGGCTAAATAGGACAAAAACATTAAAAATATTCGCCGGGCTCATCTAGAAAATCTAGAAGAATAAAACCGCAATCGGGCAAAGGTCACCGATTAATTACATACTTACATATTACATATTAGTAGTGTTCATGACTTTGCAGGTGGCCCCCACGGCTTGGTAAATAATAATATTATGCCAACGGATAATTTCGTTGATACCATAAATACTCTAATTGTGTGTTTGTTCGCGTAAGTATAAAATTCAGGAAATCCACAATAATAATAATGTTGCTTCTCTTACTCGACTCCCCAAAGCTTCCCCCCGCCTTGGGAAAGATCATACATTGTCATCACGAGAATAAACAATGTCATATACCGAAATCAATAAAGTCCTAAATTAAAGATGAAGATTGCGCTTGTGTGACTAATGAAGTCTAGCTGGCTTAAGGAGGGGACAATATTACGCCAATGGACTGTGATAATTCCAAAATGTGTCCAGAGATGTCGTTACCGGTACTGAAACTTAAATTAAATAGCCGAGGTAGTCTAGACTTATTAAGAAGGATCTAGAATTGTTCCAGAATGTTCAGGAATATCAAGACTGTACATAGATGAATATTTAAAAAATTATAAGAAAGAAATTACTTATTCCAGTAGTACACTTTATAAACACAGCAGTATATTAGAGGCAAGGCAGTTTTTTATCAATATATGCATGTCAGTATATAAAAAGAAAATTAATTTAATATAAGCACAATCGGCTCAACTGGCTCGGTGGAGTAGTTGGCTAAAGCACACGATGGCAGTATGACTTGATAATCACTCCATAGTCCTGCGAGTTCGAATCCCGCCACCGGCACTGACAATGTCGGTGGGAATGGTTATGTGTCCACGTCTTTTATAAGTGCAACCCTCGTCCGTGTAGCTTTGGCTTTGGATTTGGGAGTTTTCTAATTTCTGTGGTGTTTATTATTTATTACAATACAATTGACACTAGAAGTAAACAAGGCAATAGGTCAACGAAACTGCTTTTACCTTGATCCTCGCGTATATAATATAATAATCTACCAGATAGATAGATATATATTAAAAATGTACTAAAAAGAAATATTTTTAAAAAGTATGATAAAATGTGGTTATTAGATACACCACGTGATATAATTCCTGATAT